TAGAGTGTCAAAACAGTCTCTAGGTCTGGAGGCCCCAGAGTTCACCTGATGGCCTCAAATACCATGTCCAATTATATTAAATGGTGGGAAAGCAACAAGGACAAAGCTGTATCTACAAGTTTGCAAACCAAAGTATTTTGTATAGTTTGGTTTGCTGTATTTCAGTTGGGGTCTTGAGTGAAGTAGGTGGGTTGAACATTTATAAGCTAAGGGCTGGAAAAAGTTGCTTTACTACTTGTGTTTAGTGAATATGACTATCTTGGTTACTGATAAAGGTCTTCTTTGAAGGATGCCAGCAATGTTTTGTTTAAGTGGTTGAAAGGACTTATTAAAGCTGTTGGTTTTTAAGTGTTGGTTAGGACATTGACCTTGATCTTCCCCTTAGAATCATTTCTCTGAGTCATGTAGAGAAGAGTCCCACTACTTTTGAGAGGTTATTCCCATGTTAAGTTGGAATTATAGCATATATGCAGTTTAATCTGGCATGGGCTTTCATATTCATGAAGGAGGGTCTGCAGGTTCCCCCACTCCTTTTTTTTACCCTTGACATATTTATAACACTCTTCAATGTCACTTTTCAAAAGATTATTGATGCTTGAGCACTGGTTGTAGATGCCAAGATGATTTGATGAATCACTTTGAGGAATCATCATGTTCTTCCTATTTTCTTGGAAACACAGCCTGCTTTCAGATGCTTAGCTTCTACCACTAATTTGGGTATTTCCAAAGGAAGTCATTCAGCAGCTTGTTCCTCCTCCAACACCCAACATGTTTGCTCTGGAAGAAGTCCTTCTGACCCAGCCCTCAAGCTTTGTGATTAATGACACTCACCTGTTGCACTAATGAATGACTGTAGGTTTTCAAAGGGGGATTTAGTAGCAGTAGGCAAATAGGGTTTAGATGAACTGGTTCTACACATATTCCTGCCTTAAGTAGCTACAGTGATGGGTCCACTGCTCATGTAACCCTCCACATTTGTGGGTCCCTCTTAGTTTATGATCAGCATGGTTCTTGATGTTGTACAAACTTGACAAAAGTTACTATTTTTTTGTATTCTCTGCACTGTTGCACTATCCAAATGGCCCCTCGAATATTTTTATCAACTTGTTACATACATTTTTTTGTCTCTGATGTCTATTTTTTTTCTTTTGAATTTTTTTTAATTTGGAATTAATTTTAATTTTGGATTTAATAAATTTGTTTACCTGATTTGATATTTGTGCAGAACACAAAACAAGTGACTTTATTTTGAGGCAAGGTCTACCTATGGTACCTCTTTCAGCATGTCATTGGGTAATACTAATTCCTTTGCTTTGGAAAACAGTTTAGATAGTTCAAGATCCCCAAGTTTCAAACAGGGCTGACCGTCCATACACCAAGACTTAATGGGTTAGCCTTTGGGGTACCAATGCTTCTAGAAAATAGCATTACTAAGGCCGGGCACTCGTGGCTCACACCTGTAATCCTAGCTACTCAGGAGGCTGAGATCTGAGGATCATTGAGGATCATGGTTCAAAGCCAGCCCGGACAGGAGAGACCGTGAGATTCCTATCTCCAATAAACCACCAGAAAACCGGAAGTGGCGCTGTAGCTCAAGTGGTAGAGCGCTCGCCTTGAGCTGGAGAGCTGAGGGACAGCACCCAGGCCCAGAGTTCAAGCCCCCATGACCAACCAAAAAAAAAAAAAAAAAAAAAAAAAACCCAAAAAAACAAATAGCATTACTACAGTAGGGTCACTACTCTTTCAAGTAACTAAATTCCCATATGGGATAAGAATTTGAGCGCTTATGGTCCTTAGGTTAGCAGTGATAAAGTGTAAAGGAGACAGGCTGACTTGGCTGTTACTGTCAATTCCATTTCTGTGTAACCGCTGGAAAGTTAGTGAAGTTTTTAAAAATTGCATTTTTGCTAATTTGTAAAATGAACACTTCCATAATACTCACACTTACAATTCTAGCAGCTTCTTAGGAGACTGAGATCTGAGGATAGCAGTTCAAAACCAGCCTGGACAAGAAAGTCTGTGAGACTCTTCTTTACAATTAATCACCAAAACACTGAAAGTAGAGATGTAGCTCAAGTGGTATGGTGCTACCCTGAGCAAAAAAGCTCAGGGACAGTACCCAAGTTCTGAGTTCAAACCCAGGACTGGCACAACATAGAAAATATGTCTCCAGGACATGTACTTGTTCCCCAATGACTCTTGGATATGTTTTTTCTGTGTTCTGGCTCTCCTGAATTCTAAAACCCCATGATTCTTACACATGTGGAAAGTAAAGTGAAAGATATTGATTTGGGTATATGTAGAGCTTAGAGCTATTCTGAATGTTGTCAGAGGTATGTATGGAAAAAACCAATTTTCAATTAGATGACAGGTAAATGACTTTCATCCAATTACTAGATCAGCCTGCTGGCATATGGGATAAGCTTTTTCTAGCAAGAAAGTATCTCAAAGGTGGTTCTAGGGGTACAGAAAAAATCACTTTGGCACTGGCTTCTTAACTCCTGTCAAGGCATTTTACTAAGCTGGGTTGGCTCTGGAGGTCATCTAGCCCCCAGTTTTTTTACCTAGCCAGAAAGAGTCCATGTGAAGAGGTTAGGAGGCCTGCCTACTAGATCTCATTTCCTTCTTCTATGTGAACTATTTTAAGATACTCAGTCTGAAAAAAAATCCACAGAAAGCCTACATAGTTCATTCTTCCTAATGTTCTAACCTTAGTCTTTTCTCAGGAGTGCTGAGAAAGTCCTAGTAGAACAGAAACAACATAGCCATCAGCATAACATCTTAACTCTAAGTTTTATGAAAAGAGTCTCCACAAGTTTTGTGCTGATCTCAGTGATACTGCTAAAGTTTGTAAGTGTTTTAGATAAGTATACTTATTGTAAGAAAGAAAGAAGAAAACATGAGTACCAGATCTGGACATAGATATCCTCTTACATTGGCTAAAATAGGTAATTAGGTAATATTATCTACATGTCTAGGAAAAGTCACCATATGCCAAAATAAGTTCCAGGAAGAATAAGGGTTATTAGAAATATATGAACTTGCCAGTGGGTATTTTAAGTTGATTTTGGGATCTCTCAGGATTTTGTAAGCATAAAAGCAAATACAAGAAGTCACAATGGAGGCTGGAGGCATGGTTCAGTGGTAGAGTACATAGTAGGCATGAGGCCCTGAGTTCAAGCCTCTGTACTACCAAAAAAAAAGAACAATGGAAAATAATAAACTTAGGAACTTAAAAAGACTAGAAGTATTTTTTCAGTAATTGATATAAATGAACACTATATTTAATTCATAAGGAGCCCTAAAAAATTCAGTATGGAAAAGTACTTGGTTTCCTAAAGGAAAAATAGACAAAGGATATGCACACCTCACTGAGAGGAAAAAATAAATGGCTAAAAGCCTGGGGAGAAAAAAAAACCCTACAGGGTATTTACCATAATCAGTCATTTAACCTATTGTAAAAATTTTAGTCTGTTTAACTGGTTAAGATTTCAAGCAAATCCATGTTGTACAACTTTTCTGGTGTTAACCTAAGTGTTAAATGCTCTTTAATTCATAATTTCTTTCAATAACTTGGAGAGTTCTCTACTTTCTGCCAATTGTGTATGCTCAAAGATACAAATTTCTATTACTGGGTTTTCTATTTATAGATTATTCACAAAGAAGTGGACAAAAATGAAAAAAAAAAAAACAAAACATAACTTGAGTGTCCTATCCTTCTATGAGCAGTGAGCCCAGAAAACAAGAGTGATATATTCAAAGTTTTAAATCAAGATCTCTGTAAAATTCTTTGGAGCTGCCCTTTTCTTCCCAAATCAGACACTACTTCTCTCGCAGCTGCTTTGGCAGTTCTGCATTGGCTGCCCTAGAAGGGTGTGGGAGGAAAAATGTACAAACGCACTTATGAATGGAATGTGTGTTTTGCAAGAGGCCAAGTTGGCAGCTTTGGTTTCCAAAAGGTGGGAACATCAACTGAAAAGAACTGTGTGCAGACTGAGGTCTCAGAGACCTGAGGTCCAAGTCTATCTGCAGAGCTTTGGAGCTGGGGCTCACAGGGAGCTGCACCTTATCCAGAAGGAATGGCCTTGGCTATTTGAGAGCAATGGGAGTGTCTAGGTTCAAAAAACCCCAATCTACTCTTCCTATATTCTGAAAATGAGCCTTGGCACTAAGCCCATACTCAGGGTTTTCCCCTAATTTAATCTTCATTACAACCTTATGAAGTAGTGAAGTGGGTTATTCAGATTTTAAAAGTGAAGACATTAGCTGTGTACCAGTGGCTCACTCCTAGCTACTCAGAAGGCTGAGATCTGAGGATCTTGGTTGGAGCCAGCCCAGGCAACAAAGTACATGAAGCTCTTAATGTCCAATCAACTACCAAAAAGCTGGAAGTGGAGCTATGGCTCAAGTAGTAGAGTGCTAGACTTGGGCAAAACAAGCTCGGGGATAGCACACAGGTCCCGAGTTCAGGCCTCAGGTTTGGCACACAAAAAAAGGTGAGGAAATGGAGGCCTTGATGAGGAAACTAATTCATACTCTGTCATTTCCTACAAACCAAGTCTTTATATTTCATAATCTTTGTAAGGAGGTATTTCTTCATTCTACAGTTGTGAAAACTGACTCAAGGTTATAAATGACTTGCCCCAAAATACCAAGGGTATAGAGCTAAAGTTTTAACCAAGCCTATATGTATAGCTTCGTGTATCTTTCCTATCTACAAAAGCAGACTCAAAACTATCTATAGAATCCTATATCCCTCCACACTTCATATAACAATATGCTGTACTGTGAAAGCACAATCACTTATTTTCATAGTAATCCTATGAGAAATGTCATTATCCCAAGCACAGAGATACTAGTAACTTATTCAAGTTCAATTAATATGTTGGGATTTGAGCGTACTCTGGACACAGATGCTCACTTAAATTGGCTACCTGAATTCCATTGTGATAATCATACACATTTCTGTTTTATGTTTTTTACATTGTTTTTGTTTTATTGCCCTAAGATGGAACTCTTGACATAGAATTGCAGGGTCTGAGTGTATAGGGCAAAATTTTTGGTGTGACATCTGTGGCCAACTTTGGAATTGTGTGCTTGTGCCCTGTGTCACTTCTAATATAAAGGCTGAGATCCAGAGGAACACATTTTGAAGCCAGTCCAGAAAGAAAAGTCCAAAATAACCAGCAAAAAGCCAGGCTGAAAACATGAGTCAAGTAATATAGTGCCAACCAATCAACCTCAGGCAAAAATAAAAAGGAATGAATTAGCTTTGCTTGAAGTTTCCAGTTCTCAGGGAGGAAGCTGACTGATGGCGGCACCTAGTGGTGGAGACAGGCTCTGCAGTTGCTCCGAAGAGGGAGTGATGATTTCCAAACTTAAAAAGTTGTCTTCATCCTGGCAAAGCAGCAAAGATGACATGGCATCTTGTGGGCCTGGAGGGATGTCTGTGCCTTTTTCTTAGTGCCCTGCACTGGGCAGACCTGCCACTCCCTTTTGTTGTCCAAGTCTAGAAGTGAAAAAAATTGAATGTTGCCAACAGTGATAAAGTTGAGCAATAAAACTTATAGAAACATAACCAGATTAGGCTTAAGTGTGAGATGAGACATACATTGAAAGAAGTAAAATTGAATGAGGTAAGATTTCAAAAGAACCAACCCAAACAAAGTCTAATACTCTCTGTGTGGCAGACTTGCCAGATATGTGGCTCAACCTTTTTGTTTCAAGTTTATGATAGCTTCCATGGACAAATAATTTGCTTCAGAGGTACTTCAGTTTTGACAAACTATTAACTGGCGCTGTTTTTCTCCACAAAAAATTATGTCCTTCCTCACGTTTCCATCTCTGACTATACTGTTTTAATGGTAGTACTACATGGAGTAAGTAACCTTGTTTCTTTCCCTCACATTGTGTAAAGATGAAGAAATCTTGAACTTTAGGCATTTATTGAAAATTTGCACATGCAAAAAGGGACTAGATTCATTAGCCAGATACAATCAACTTCCCATAAAAGCCATCCACTGGTTGACAGGTTGCAGCTTAATCATATTTGCTGCTGTTACCCACAAGGGTAAGAAATGGCACTTGGAAAAGTGCCAAGACTCACAAACCCATGCTTGGGGTTGTGTTTTCATCTTCATCTTTTGCTACCATGAGTCTTAAACCAGAGAGTGATCCAGTAAAGACAGTAAAGACAGGTTTTTATCCACAAGGCTGAATGAATAGTTATAAACAAGCTAGAGGAAGTAAGGTTCAAGTATGTGTCTGCCACAAGGAAAGAGGCAGGCAGTAGGTTCATGTAGAGTCACCTGATTCTAATCCAAGGCCTGCCACTGAGATACAAGGCAAATCTCAACCTAGCCTCATTTTCCCAACTAGAAAACATCAAAATATTTAATATCTCATGAGAACTACAGACAACAATAGTTAACATACACTGAGCATTTATTACCTGTCAAAGGATATTCAAAGCACTTGTCTCATCCTCAAAACAGCTCATTGATGTGAATGCAACTGTGCATCTACTCTCTTAATAAAGAAGCATGCTCAAGGGCTAGGTGTGGAAGTCCACACTGTTAATCCCAGCAGGACTGGAGGTGAAGGCAGGAGGATTGAGGTTCAAGGGCAGGGAAATACTGGCAAAGTTAGTGTTAAGTCCTTATCTGAAAAACTGAAAAGAAACCTGGTCACATGGCACAGCACTTGCCTACCAAGTGGTGCAAAAAACAATACAAAAGACAAACATATAAACACGGGTGTGTACAAGCCACACAACTGTTAAGTGACAGACAAGGATTCCAATAATGATACTTTGTCCTAAGAGTCCTTACAAATTACTTTTAATCTTGTCTAAGTCTGATCACTTAAAACTTGTAGCACCTATTATGTTAAGCACTGCTTAAAAACTATATAAAATATCATTTAACAATATATCTTGTAAAACTGAAAAAGCACTTAGAATTTTGGAGTTATCCCTTACCTGTTAATTCTCTTACATGTCATAAGAATTCATAGAATTAGGTAGGATGAGAAGGCTAAGGAGTTTTTTAACAAAACAAGCAGAAATGAGCAAAGACAAACACAAAATCTTCCTTTGGTTGCCTGAAGTAGCCTAGCAGTAGCATTTTGTGCACGAAGAAGTAGAGCTTTGAGAGCAAGAGCTTTATGGGCCTGGAACCAAGTCATCATGGTTCAAATCCTGATAATGCACTTGCAGTTGTGTAACTGTAGGGAAATTACTTAAGCTGAGTAAACCTCTTTCTACTTGTTACGTCCTTAGATACGCTAAATTTATCTGTTATACGATTGTAGTAATAGTTTCAGTAATATAGTTTCTATATTCTAGAAATATCAAGACAAGAGCTAGATCAGGTCTTCAGCCTGAAGAAGCCTGATGTCTTTGCTTCTTTTTTTCCTGTGCACTGGGTTTTCCAAGGGTATCCAATGACATCATGGAAACAGCTGCACAAATATGTGGCAAAGAGAGGTAGTCACAGCAAATTTTTGGGAAAATGCAAGCTGCTGGTGGGTTTGATCAATATGATTACAGAAATTGGAGTATGACTCTGAAATGAAAGGAATGACTTGAGTTTCTTTAGTGTAGAATACTGCTCCTAAAGGGTCTCCTGGGGGGCTGGGAAGGTGGCTCAGTGGTAGAGCGCTTGCCTTGCATGCTCGAGGCCCTGGGTTCGATTCCTCAGCACCACATAAGAAAAAAAGCCGGAAGTGGCGCTGTTGCTCAAGTTGTACAGCGCTAGCCTTGAGCTGAAGAGCTGAGGGACAGCGCCCAAGCCCAGAGTTCAGGCCCCACGACTGGACCCCCCAAAAAAACAAAAAAAACTAAAGGGTCTCCTGATTTCAGATTATCTTGATCTTTGCCTCAGAGTCTAAATCCTTTTGCCTACTGACTTTAATACTCCATTCCCAACACTTCACTCACATATTATCCTAGGTACTTCTTGAAGGAGAATGCTTTAAGCCACTTACTTTATCTACAAATAGGGACACAATGTTCCTTATTCTGCCTCCATATGCACTGAATTGATACTGAGGAGCTATCTAAAGGCAACTCTATGTCCCTTCAGAGCTTCTGCTTATTGGTCTTATTGGCAACTTTTGGTTGTCCAGGAGCCGGGGTCTTTTAAGTAAGTATAAACACTGAACACTAGGCTTTGTTTCTTACAGAAACCAATTCTTACACGTTGCTCAATAGGTTAATCATATCCCATCAAGTGCATGTTACAGGGACTTTATGACAGGAAATGAATTCCTGGTCCTGGCTTTAAGGCCTGAGTTGTTCATATTCTGCCATTTATATTTGACTATCTTCTAAAATGTCAGAATCTTGAGACATTTGTTTTTGCTAGTCCTGGGGCTTGAACTCTGGGCCCGGGCACTGTTTATGAGCTTCTTCTGCTCAAGTCTACCACTTCAGCCACAGAGCCACTTCTGGCTTTTTCTATTTATATGGTGCTGAGGAATTGAACCCAGGGCTTCATGCATGCTAGGCAATCACTCTGCCACTAAGCCACCTTCCCAGCCCCTCAAGAGGCATATCGTAGTCCAGTATTTCTTAAATTGTTCTAAGATGACACTAGCCTCTTTATTCCTACAGTTTATATGCTCATTCATTTGCTTATTCTAAAATGGATATCCACTTTTTAGTTTTATTGTTTATTATAATAATAATTATTATTTTTATTATTTTTTTGGTCGGTCATGGGGCCTGAATTCTGGGTCTGGGCACTGTCCCTCAGCTCTTCAGCTGTAGACTAGCGCTCTACCACTTGAGCCTCAGCCCCACTTCTGGCTTTTTCTGCTTATGTGGTGTTGAGGAATTGAACCGAGGGCCTCATGCATGCAAGGCAAGTACTCTACCACCGAACCACCTTCCCAGCCCCTATTGTTTATTATTTTTATTCTACAAAAGAATTTTACTTCAACATGTCAATGTATGTGTATAATGAATTATGCTTTAGGATTGAGTACTACTTTTTCCTTACAGAAAGCCTTATAGTAACAAGAATTAAGGGTTTGAAAATCACTGACTCCAAATTCTTCATTCTTCATGGAGGGATTAGAGGTGTGGCTCAGTTGGTAGAGCGCAAGCCAATGAACAAGAGCTTCAGGTACCATATTTGAGCTGAGATGCTACCCAGGCCCTGAGTTCAAGCACCATATGTCATGCTTCACACACATACCAAAGTAAATGTGGCTAAGCAATGGAGTTAGGCAGGGAGGAAAAATATTCATCTAATATGTAGAGAGGGTATGCTCTGATCACACCTAACCTGGGCCTTAAACTAAGACAGCTTGACATTAAGAGATGACTCGTGGACTGGGAAGGTGGATCAGTGGTAGAGCGCTTGCCTTGCATGCATGAGG